AATGTATTTATTTCTATAACAACATCGTTGTGTGTTATCTACAGGCCTTTGCGGCTGCGCTAAAAAATATCTAAAAAATTAATCAGGTGAGTCTAGAAATACTAAACTTTAGTATCTATTAAACAACAATATTGTTTATATTCATAAATTGAGCTAAATAAGTAGGCAAACTATTTTATTACTTGTTTGTTCATCAACATTTTTATACTAATCAATATTTAGGTGTTTATTGCTAATGTCGTTGCATGGTAATCACTTCTTTTTAACTGGAGTGCATTCTGTAGCATATGCAATATCTTTCATTAGTTGGTGCTACGACTGGTTAAAATAAAAAAACGTAAAATGAAAGATACTCGATGTCTAATCTATTCAAATCTAGTACTTAATTGATATACCTACATATATTTATATAATTAGGTACAAACTTGAAATGAATGTAGCAATATCAATTTCTATTTCTATCCTGTAATTTAGATCCCGAAATGAAGACCATACAATATATTATATTAGGATGGACTATTGTACTTAAAATATCAGATCCCGAAAGGCCGCAAAACAACTCAATAAAAAAAAGATATTGTGTCATGTACACTGGTACGTATTTTGTAAAATTATTTACTACTTAAGTTTGGTGGATTCTTTTGTATAATATAATCGTTGTCAAGCATTTATTTTTTCATATAAAATTACAAACAACTGTAGACATTACATAATTTAATGAATATAACGTAATTAATGTAAATAGTCATGGTTTTAATCGGGACATCGTTTGTGATACCTGCATGTTACAAATCATATCTCCAACTTGACAAACACTATATTGTGTCAGATTTATATATTACTATATATGAATATATAATCTGATTTAACAATCGCAGCTCTATATTGATTATAAATAGTTTGTGATTATTTGCAATATTTTAATAGATATGCCTATCTACTCTGAAGACTAATTCCGATCCAATGACATTAAAAAAAAAACAAAATGGCGCGCGTTTCGCGCCTTTTTATACTTTTGAATTATACAATTAACATATTAATTCTATATTTAGTATGCAATAAAAGAAGTAACCTATTTATTTATTCTTTTTATTGGTTTAGTTTTAATTACTTCTCAAATAACAAAACAAAAATGTATTGGATAGAAATGGATATTTGACTAAACCTCCAGAGCAGATCTGCAATCCAAAATCTAACAACAAAACTAACGTAATTTGGACAATAAAAACACAAGTACAATATAACTAATATATTTCAAATATTATGTAATATATAAAGAAATATATACAACTAGAGTTACATATCAGATATTATATATTTATACCTATCTAAACTATTTCAAACAGAATTGAGAAATCAAGTATTTGTATTAAAAAGATATTTGGCTGTATTGTCAAATTGAGCAAGAGATCTCCTCCTAAGATAAGATCTGCTCCTAAGATGTGAACGGAAAGCATCTTCTATCATCAGAGTATACTCATATGATATATACTTACATATAACTACTTGTATACTCCGTTTATGTGGGGGAGAAGAGGTTGTTAGTAATGAACTGATGACCCCATAGCTAGCAATGCACGATATTAGGTTGACCTCCCCATCCAAACCGTCATGATAAAATCCTAGTGAATGTCACTCTGGGCTAACTGACCTGACCTCATGCTCATCATATAAGCCACGTGTAAGCGTAAACCGTTAGCGCATGCGATACACCAATCCATTCTCATCCATTTTAAAAAATCTGCATTTAAGGGTCATTTATTATGACCCTCATCCCTTACATCCTCCACCATGTATATACGCCACACACGATTTTGATGAATTATAAAATCAGATCTTGTTTGGTAATTTCGTAATGTGGGTATAATTTTACATCTTCCTAGTACTTTCATTGTTAATAAATGGCATATAATGTTAATTGATACTTGGTCAAGTATTAATTGGTCTTAGCTGTTCTTTCTTAGGAGTCGAAATATTGTTTTAAAAATATAAAAGAATTTCATATACTTATATATTAAAATTCAGACAGACTGTAATTTTGCGTGTATTGACAAAATAAGGTTAGTTTTGCTGTTGTTAAACAATTGTTCAATTAGAATATTTTTTCCTATATTATACAATAGAACAAATAATTATTAAACAAAAGTTTATGTAATGTCCATAACATATATTGACACATTTTTATTAAATATTTAAACATAATGTGCAATTGAAGCGCGTTTTATCAATTACGTACACAACTAGTGACTTTTCTATATTTGACAAATGTATATGCGTGAGCCTAATTGCAATTGAAAAAAAATTCATAGAAAAAAAATATTGACAGCAAATAATTTCAGCCAAATGACGTGACCAAAGATTTGATTATGTAGTACCGCTGCAACGGTTTCTTATATAAAATAAATACCCTAAACAATTAACACAGCGCCATCTAGTCCCACGGTAAGACAGGTTGTGTTGTGGATTAGACAACTGATACAAATACTAGATAATTTTCCACTGCTCAAAATAAGAAACCATTACAACAACATTACAAAATCATCATCCAGACCGAACACCACAACTTTCAAATACAATAACAAAACAATAGTTCTGAATTATTATTTCAATATTTGTTACCGCGATATTATTTATCTTTTTAATATACGAAGTTATCAAATACCTATTTTAGTAAAATAAAATGCGTTAGTTCCTAATCAATATATAATAAACAAGAAATTAATGTAATAAATCATCTTGTTGCATACAAAGAATATTTTTAAAATAATTATACAGAAATATCAGAAATTATAGTTTAATTGTTAAAACTTTGGTACAAATGCTGCTCACACTTGAAGCATTTAAGTTTTCGTCATTTATGAATTCACTCAATTACTTGCCGCCAAATGTAATATTAGAGCATTTAATTGATTTCTATATCAATAAAATGTACAAATTATACATAATTAAACAAAATATAATGCTAAATTAGTCTCACGCAATATATAATTAACTTAAATTTAGCTAACAATATGAGATATATTTATATTATCATTTAACGCTAATTTTATTAAGGAATCTAAACACGCTAACGTATTACACACAGTATACAAAAAATAGTGGACACCGAACGAAATATTTTGACTGTTGTGGATTCGGGGGAAAAATCTGATATGTCGTATTTTAGTTCGTTTAATCGCCACTATATTTTGTATATCTGCGTACAATTTGGAGTGTGGCAACATTTTTTCGTACGGCAAGTCATTCTTTATAAGTCGTATCATAATTATCTCTATCTACAAGCTTGTAATCAAATGTAGATTGCAATTATAATAATTATTGAACTTGTATACGTATAATTTCGCGTTGTCTTCTGTTTTAATTTAAATAGAAAGAGACAGTGAACTGTGACGTTATAAAAGTCAAATTTATTGTCTTTTGTTTCTTGGTGTTATACGCATTTGTTTCTAAACTTCTTGATTTCATTTGGTGGCAAGACGAAACGGAAAACGGCATCTTATTATATGACAGATTAATTAATAATATTAAATTATATTATGTCGCCTGCCGATGAACAAACACTGCTTGCGTTTGGTCACCAAATCCGACTCCATCGCTTAGAGAGCATAAGATTTCACGATCAAAATAGCTGCAGCCGTTTTCCTCTCTATAAAAATATAAGTACTTGTATAGACATCGAAATCCAAAATAAACTTATAAGCTTGGCACCGTTACATATTTAGAAAAAAATATACCACACCCATTGCTGTGCATTAACCGAAGCTAAATTTGTTTATAAAGGCAGACATGAGTACCTTGTTCACATAAAATTGTAACAAAGCCATATTATTATTCTTATTCTTTAACACATTACCTTAGGAAAGTTCTTATTTTGACTCCACATCTCAATGGAATTTTACAAGTGTCAAAATATAATATTTATACAAGCCGTTTGACCGTCTATATATCGCCTTTATTTTAAGTAATTATATGTGAACAAGTAACTCCACGCAGGTATAATTCAATTGGAACAACATGACTAAATATCGCGAAGTTAAGCGCACCTCAATTATGCTAAATACCAATAGATATGGCTATATGCGTTACTTCCAATGATAAAACACTATGAGCCATTACGTCGCGTTTCTACCGATACATTATGTGTTTTATTCATATATTATTTATATATATGTGTATATTATTACACAAAATTACATGTAGACTGTTACTTAATTCTATTTGACTTGCAATATATTTAGTCTTTTACAAAGCAGTTTTACATTGTTGCAGTTATTACTTCAGTATTAGTATATAGGTCATCACCTTTTAAAGTTATGGATGTATAGGAATAAAGTTGAAAAGTAATAAAAAAATGATGGTTAAACATTAAACTTTTATTTTGGAATAGTTTCTAAACGTATATAAAGTAACAAAAGTAATAAAAAAAACTTTACGATTTGAATAATTTTATATATATCTTATTGTTAAATAGTCATCAACTAGAATATACAATTTCAGTAATTTTCTAATGTGTATAAATTGACCTATTATTGGATAATATTTTAATTTATTCACAAGGAAATTACAAAGGAATAGTATCATACAGCCTAATAATTTGAACAGATTAGAGTATTTAACAATCACTTTTACTATACATAAATGATTAAACTACAAATTTGTCAGTGTCCAATGTGCCGTATTATCAATAAAAGAGGATTTTCTAACTAAAAAATTGGTTTAAATACTTCAAATTCGGATGATAAATTTCTTGTAGTATGAAGTAAAAAAGTATTGTGGTTTCGGACAGTGCGGTTTCAGAGAAGCTTCCTACCGCCTACACTTGAAATGTGGAATGAACTACCTGCCGAGGTTTTTTCTAAAGACTACAGCATAGGGTTTTTAAAGAAGGATATATTAAGGTTTATTAAGTGTCGGCAACGCGCACGTAATACCCCTATGACGTATATAATGGGCCGTGGGCTCGATATTTTAAAGAAGCACATGTCCGAAATTTCTATACAAATAAAAATTTAAATATTTTTTACTTTAAAATATAAAACAATATAGTGTAAGTAAAGTAAGATATATCCATACTATAAAGTGATAGAATGCACAAGTAAAATAAATAGAAATATCTCAAACTAATCCAAATCACTTCACAATTGGTCCATCCATAACAATGCAACGATCACTTTCACAGACGGCCACACCGTTTCTCCATAATTAATAAAATACAACAAATATATACATACACGTGGTCTCGGTACGTATCGTTTCTAGCATAGCGCGTATAATTTCAATTAACACAACTCTTTTGTACATACAAAAGAGTTAAGATCGCATTGTGAATGATATACATTAAATGTTACTAAAAACATGCTAAAATTCAGTAAAGCCCTATCTGAGATTAGCGTGCACAAACGCATAGATAATAAATCTAGAAACTATATTTTTGACTTTGGTAACATAAATACAACGTGTACATTCTTGCTATGATATAATGTTTAACGGAAACAGCTCGTTTATTTTATTATTTAATTTGTAACTTATTTTGATATAATCGAATGTACGAAAACGGCCCGGCAATTTTATTATATCGTATTAATATTATAAACTCGAAAGTTTGTGAGTATGGATGTTTGTTACTCTTTCACTCAAAAGCTACTGAACGTATTTTAAGCTTACAGCTATAATATAGCTTATGCATCAGAATAACATCTAGGCTATATTTTTTATTCAAATTAAACGCTGGTGAAAACGCGGGCACAGCTAGTGTATTATATAAATAGTAACGCAATAAGTCCATATACAATTGGTATTTATGATTACGCCTCATTCGCCACTTATATGACCACACATCAATCGTTTCAACAATTCCTGTACAAGACTTCAATCTATACATACACTGGTCTTTCAGTTAACAATAAAACATATAGTAACTTTTAATCTTTAGTACATATTATCTTTTTCTTTAGTATACATTGTTAACATTGTTTATCGGGTATTAACACAAATCTGACTAATATTATAAGTCTGTGACGCATGGATGGATGGATGTTTATTACTCTTTAAAGAAAAACAACTCAGTGGATCATAATGAAACTTAATAAGTTATATGCAGAATAACACATAGGCTATATATTTCACGCGTGTGAATCCGCGGGTACAGCTATATATATATATACTTTCACGGCTGTTGGATAGGCAGAAACATTGTTTATTGTTGGCGTAATGGTTAACGTACTCTTCATCCGCTGGATATACACATACTAATAACACGTATGATTTTATATTAAATTAAATATTTACCTCACTCAAAGTATCGAGTAGGTTGCACTAGCCGTGGTCATAAGCTTTGCTCAAATTTCGAGACAAAAAGACCCGAGAAACAATATCAATAATGAAAAATACCCCTTATTCATAAAAATATCGAACGTCTAAGCCTATTTCGCTAACAATTTTGTCTTTTTCATTGAAACTAGTTTCTTCATTTGAAGGAAAGAGACAAGTCATTTCAACAGCTAAAATGCTTTTGTTCTAACTTTTAAGATTAAGGCGATTAGTTATATAAATGTTAAACTTAAAACAATGTGTCAACCTCCCATAAATGTTAATTAAATCAGACACAAGTTACACCTGGAGTTCATTATGTAACACTGTTGCAATGGTTTCTTATTTCATACAGATTGAAAGTTTTTATTGAATGAAGCATCATTTAATAGTTACAGACAGAAACAAGGTCAAATGGCTCTGCAATCAACCTGGTCAAAATTAGAAACAATAGCAACAGTGTTACATAATCAAGCCCAAAGACGTCTATTCTGTTAATATACAGATAAAAGTATACGTATATTAAGAGAATAGACTATATTAAAGATAGAATATGTATTTTTCTTTCTTCGGTACTTGCGCGCGCTCGACCGACGGGACCTCAAGGACCCTAAATTATACGGCGCGACTGAGAAAGAGACGAAAACTTGTACTAGCGTCTACTTGAGCGATAACGAGGCCGAGTGAACGCGCAAGCTAGATTGTACTGTATTGCATTAGAACGAATTGCTTTATATTAAAAGTACTTTAAGGTGTGAATTTTCCGCACTATACTCTATTGTGTTAACTCCAATATTACAAAATTATAGATATACTATTTACAATATACATATATCTATAATTCCAAGTATGAGTATGCAGGACTACTGAAACGACCGACGCGTATACATATGCGGTCGCTGTGTTTACGAGCCAGCCCGTAGCCGGGGCGTTTAGCGTGCGCTGCCGGACTTACTGTGTTGGATAAGCCACTGTAAGGTGATATCTATGTTATCCTTTTCTTTGCACGAGATTGAGTAACAGCAGATCTCACGGTCTTGGATAGCTGATAGATTCCTGGAAACGCAAAATTATAACTATTACAACCCACTAAAGAATATGAGATCTCTTCTTAAGAAGAATAAAAATGGTTGTTATTATTAAATGAAGCCAAAAACTTTTGGCTTCATTTAAACCAAGATAAACTTTGTACAACGTCGTATCTGTTGGGTCTTATCTATTTCAGATAGATTAAAAGTTGCATTTCGATTTTAAGGATAAGATCTGCTAGTGAAAATAGAACTTTACAACACCTTAATACTCTTGAATGGTAACCACATGACATGTGATGTCTGTAGAGTTGTTTATGTACACAGCCAACATTTGCTACTATCTATCATGGCATTTTTGTGCCCTGTGTCACAACACAGGACACAAAACATCTGCAATTTCTTACTCATACAATTTGGGATCCCTATATATATATGTTTTTTCCATTATTCTTTCCCTTTCCTATCTCACTCACACAGACAACTTCATACAAGTAAAGTAAATACAAGTCTGACACTAGTCTGTTTTTTTTAGACTACTCTAATGCTGTTGGCCGCGCAGCTGGCATTTACAGATACACAGAGCGATAGGGGTGAGTGCAGATGGAATTGCAAACCCGCGGAAGGCCTTATAAGAGTGGCTAAAGGCCAATTCCTGGTGACAGATACGACTGTAGTCTGAGGGCACCGCTAAGGCTTTGAATCTCAGCTCAAGTCGTCGTAATTTCAATCCCCATTTGAATTGGACGAGGGATCGATCAGAGGGGGCTCTAATAATGTAATATGAATACTAACATTCTCTCAATGAGGCCGTGCTCGTCGAGTGCGTGCGGCAGGTCTCGCTTGTTGCCAAGCACCAGCACCGGGATCCCAGTCAGCTGCTGCTTCTCCAGAAGGCTGTGCAGCTCGTTGCGAGACGCCTCGATTTTATCCTGATCTGCCGCGTCTACCATGTACCTGGAAATAGAATACAGTTTGTTTCTTAATTTAATTATAAACTTATAAAAGCAACAGTGTAATAATACAAAATAAGAATTATTATATTGTTTAGAGTAAATGTTAATAAACAATATCCTAATCGCAAATTATTGGTCACACTAAGGGTTGACTTTTAGAGAATGCTACTAACAATAGTTCGCGTTATGTACTATATTTTATTTGGTCCATGAAGTTATTTAAAGAGACAAAGAATTTATATTTTTATCACAATGAAAAAATATAACCTAAGAAATGTTTTACAAAAAACAATAAATTCTAATACCTATAAAGCCATATATAAAAATGTTTATATTTTTAGAGATAAAGTAAAGATTTTGATTGTTTAATAAAATATTATTTCAGAACACAAGATACAATAAACTATGTAAGCCTTATCCTTTTAAGTTTACATAAACCTGTATTAGTATGAAACATAGACAGAAGAGTGGTTTGTATGAACGATAAATCAGGAATCAATGAACATAAGAGCAGACCTATTACAAAAAATAATCTGCAAATTAAGCAGACAAAGTTGTGGATAACATCTAGAAGGTAATATATGTACTTACACAATAGCATTGACTCCCCGGCAGTACCTCTCCCACATGGAGCGGAACCTTGGCTGACCACCAATATCCCAAACCTACAATATAAAAGCAGCTTAAATTTCTAGTATCATATTGTAGTTATTCCCACACTACTTATATGTTGATAGTGATAAAATTTACATCTTTAAATAGTATAAAATGAAGTCGCCTCCACTGTCTTTTCGCTTAGATCTTTTAAACTATGCAACGGATTTAAATGTAGTTAGTAGCAATAGATAGAGTGATTTAAGAGGATGGTTTATATGTATAATATATGTACATCTGTGCAAAGCCAGGGAGGTTAGGTAGTAAATTATAAGGAGCAGGGGATCAATTGAAGATTATTAACCCCATTACTAGCTTGGAACTATTCCTCCAATTGAAGATTCAGGGTAACATTCCTGAGCTTCCTGGCACAAGCATCTTTATGCTTAAAAGGAGTCTTCAACAACTGTAGAATGTAATTGTAAAATGGTGTTATCTAAATAAAGAATTTTGAATTTGAATTTTTTGAACATTCATGTGGACTGACTTCTTCCTCCAGCTGTGTGTATTTTACAGTATAGCTTACATCTTAATTTATAGTTGCAATATTATTTTAATTCAGAATCTTAGTCACAGCAATATGTAGCTGGATCTGCTTACTATATATAAAAATATCAGCCATAGTGAATCGGACTGTTTGCCATTTCAGTTACATTTAAAAAAAAAAGAAGTTTTACAATCTTCCTCACCTTGATTGTGACATTTCCCTTAGTTATTTTACGCATGTTGAAGCCAACAGTAGGAATCATATCTTCACTGAATTGACCAGACTGTAACAAACATTTTGTATGTCAATAATAAATACTATTTTTTTCCTACTGCCCAGTATACAGATTCAATTGAGAACTGGCAAGAAACTCAACTGAATTTCTTTTTTTTATATCCAGTTTACAGTTAATATTATACATAGCTATCAGGAAAAAGTTTCTAACAAGTATAGTTTTTGAGAAGTCGGAAATGCTAATATTTTTAAATTTCTTATATATTAATACCTTTATATTGTATATACATTATATTTATAAAGACTGACAAAAATATTGATAATTACAGAATTATAGATAATTAAATATAATTACAAAATGTTAGACAATGAACTCTACATTATCTTACTAATCCTAATATGTATTGTTAATTGTTCAATATAAAAAAGATACTTAACACTATATGACATATAGTATATGTGTCACTATGAGATAAGCACACTTGCAGACTTCAAATATATAAAAACACATAATTTTGTAATATATAACAAGTCTTATTGTACTTAGAAATAAAATAGTAGTTAAATTTGTAAGTGACTACTCAATACAGGATAAGCAGTTACCAATAAAAAGCCAAATATAAAATATAATCACTCAATTCATCATTCATTAACTGAAATCATAACATCATAAAACAATTGTTGAGTCATCATTTTCATCAGTAAGACCACCTACAATATTATTGATTGATACCTACTACTTTCAAATATTTTACATGTGACATAATGTTACTGACTATATGCAAGTAATTATTACTCACGACACTTTCCTATAGATATACAACAAAGTGCGTTATTTTATGTAAATGAAAGTTAAGTAATGCGGGCACAAAAACAAAATGCAGGCACAATACAGTTGTACGTGGTAAGCTCGAATTATTATTGATACATCGACGATATTCTATGACTATTAAATTGGTACGTAGTTCATGTGAACTCATTTCCGTCGGTGTACATCACATAACAATAAAACGCAACCAAACGATGCGGATACAAAGATAAATATTGTTTTTTAGAATACTAACAGCAATGACGTTAACAAAAGTTGTCTTTCCCGAATACTGCAATCCGACCAAAGTGAGTTCCATCTCCTCCTTCCAGAACAAGCTTTTGAACCAATCAAGGATACGATTGATCAAAGCTAACATTTTAATAGATTATTCACAGCAATTTAACACAGAAAATGTAAATTAATGTACGCCTCTCGGAAAAAGTGATGATAATTTGACAATTTATTTTGTTTGACATAATGGCACTAGTTTGGCACTTGCATATTGCGTCTTGTTGTTGCTTTGTATTATGTTCATTCATTCATTTTTATAATACATAATAGAATAATGAAACATTAATTGTGATAACTATAAATATTTTTACCAATTTAAAATTATTATTCAGAATGATTAATAATAGCTGTATTAAAAAAATAAATCATCATTAGTATTCTAAACATGGTGTATCTAAACGTAACTTTTTTTTTTAATTATGGAAGCAAAGATATTTCTGTATAAAGACTTATATCACCGAGTCTTCAATATTCGTCAAGGTTTTATAGTAAACACAAATTCAAATAATATAGGGACTTATAATTGTAAAAATATTCGTGAATTTTAAATATCTGATAAATTAATAAAAATTATGGAAAATATTATTTTACAGTCTTTTATAGCACAGGAACTTATTAGAACGTATCCCCGCGGGGTCTTCGTTATTCTAAGTGGCCGCCACATATTTTTGCCAATGGAATGGTTTGATAGACACGTGTAATTTGTAGCTGTAGCTTATTTCAGTTTGCTCAGTAAAGTTTGATAATTTTGTTCGGGTTCGATATATTACTGTACAATTAAGGACAGCGTATCACCCGAGGGACAACAAACAATTATTAGTAGGGTTTTCATTATTAGTTGGACAACACTAGTTAGTGGAACAATACAAACATAGACACTTAATATTACATTGAAGAGAGTCGGTTGGGAGGTATAATTTCAGGTTATTGTTAAACGGGATCTTACTGTACTGTACAGTTTTGTATTGTTACTATAGGTTCAAGAGAATCAAATATTTTTTCCAACGTACTTTTGCCCTTTTGCTCATAACTTTGTCCAGGCGATGTACGTTTATGTGTAACTTCTATATAGGTTTAAAATGGCTCTTTTGTGGAGGATGATGAAATGAAATATAACATTGGCTGAGCTATTGGCGTATTGAGATGATATGAATGGATAATAATTATATCGGGTCACTTATACTTTGTCTATAGTATGGTGAAGTCACTAGAGAGTAATGGCTATTTGCACTAATATTAAATTTTAGTCTTTGTGTTACACTCATTGTTGCTGGTAGCTTCTACCATTCTTTTTATAAACTTTGTATTTTTGATATCTGTTTTTATATGTCACTTTTGACTGTTGTTATTTGTCGCTGTGAGCTTTTTTGGGAAATATACACATTTATTACTACTATTCTGATTTTCAATAAAATAGTTGCTGTGTTCCCGTTCCAGTCACACTCATGTATATATATATCCATATATATAAAATTCTCATGTCACAATGTTACTATACTCCTCCGAAACGGCTTGACTGATATACAACATACATACACCCTTTTCACCTTTCTACCATTAACCCCTATTTATAGCTATTATATGCTATTTTATATATAAATAAAATAGCTATTATATTTTAATTTATATGGCAAAACAACGTTTGCTTAGTCCGCTAGTATATATATTACTGTAAAGTTGCATCAAAATCCGTTCAGAAGTTTGCGTGAAAGAGTAACAAACATCCATCCACTCACAGATCAATGGACTATATGTTCCTTTTTTCTGTGCATCAATCCATCTATCCATCCATACCCACAAACATTCGCATTTATAATATTAGTAAGATAACTACTGTAGTTAATTCCTGGTATGTACACCATGTTGGCCCAATTGACCTGACCTAATAGTATGAGGCTTATTCGCTGGCGGGGCACCAGTGGAGGATGCTTATCATCCTCCACTGGTGCCCCGCCAGCGTATACCAATGTGTGCTATTGGTACACGCGGGTGCTCTTTTTATACCTCGTAAACAAGCTTATGTTTGTTTGGCTTCTACGTGGTATAAAAAAGCAGTAGTTTTGTCTGGTCTTTCCTTGTCTTGATTTGTGTTTTTCTGATTGCTCTTATATGGTAGGCTTTCTGCGTCATAGAACAATAGATTAATTAAAGGGAACTAGATACAGGTATACTTATGAAAATAAGACATTTTCTTTTATTTTTATACTACGTAGGTGACAAACAAACATACGGCCCATCTGATGGTAAAAGGTTACCGCAGCCTATGAACGCCTGAAACACCAGGGGTGTCACGTGTGCGTTGCCGACCCTTAAGAAACCATAATATACCCTTCTTAAAAAACCCCATGCTGTAGTCTTTCGAGAATACCTCACGGGAGGAAGCTCCTCTGAAACTACATTGTACGAGACCACTTAGGTTCCAGTATAATGGTAATGAATTCAGTGTCGACGGCGAGCGGTGGTCTTTATCATCCATTAAAAAAAGTTAAGAGGTAAGATAAGAAGGTAAGTTAAGAAGTAAGGGGATCAACTGCCTTCCCCTGCCTCCTCTCTGGGTACGCCCATATGCATATCATATATCTAGTGAAAAATAAACGATTGTACACGTGGACTTCCACGTGTATTTTGTATTACGGATATTATAAGTCGTTCTAGTAGTATCGGTTATTCGACATTTCTATTTTGTCATTTCCTTAGATTAAGCCTTACATTTTAAACCTTAGGGATATTTGGCCTTTAAAATAAAGGTTTAAAATTTACGTAATTAATTGTTACGTAATTGGGCTGCAAAAGTGCGGCTGTTTTATTTGTGGAGGCTTTATGTATTGTAAATTTCTTAAAAATATTTCCAGTTCCATTTTTCCTGTACGAGTTTTATAAATATTGAAATACAGGAAAAATGGAAGTAGCATTATTTTTAAGTTTTATTTATTTAAGTGTCTTATCTTGAGTTTCAGAAATGTTGAAGATGAGTAGTACATATGTGTGGCATATTTTAATGTTAAAATAAAAAGTTCATGAATTTACAAACGGACCCCATTATGGTTATATTTACTTCCTTCTTCTGGCTCAGGCACCAAACCCAATACATCAGTAATGTTAGTACTATTTTTGTATTTGGATCACCACTATCTGTATCTTTTAAAAGACCAAGCCACATCAAGCAAATCAACGACAAATTTGGAGTCGTATCGTATCAACATTTAAAGAGCATAATGGAAGGTCGTGAAAAGTGGCAAGATCTCCACCGACTAGAGCGCTGCTCTTAAATTTGGAACGAATGACTGACTACCACAGTAAATTATATAAAAAAATACAATATTTAAATAATTGTATCGCTGAAGGATGGACGGAGGCACAAACTGGCTAATATTTAAATTTAAACAATAATAATTGTTCTATTACAAACAAAAAATCAAATCTTTCCTTTTCATTAGTGGATATTATTAAAATGTTTTCTGTCAATAAGTAACGTAAAGCCACATTACGTACACACGTAACGTGCTAACGAAAACAGTCGAGTATATGTTCGCAGGATAGAGGTGCGCGGGACGACCGTGTGACGTCACCTAAAGACATCACCTCGGTCACGTGCGAGCGAGCGTGGCCCGAGGCCGACTCGCGACCCGTCCGTTCGATTGATCCGATCGTACGTACCAATAATTTGGTACTTATTTATGCAGTCGTTATATCGACGGCCCAATTTGATTTCCATATTTATTTTTAATAGAAATTGATGAAATGTTTTCATATTGCGTAGTCCCGTGCCGTATTTTGACGCCGCCGCGCTGTCAAGTGTCACATGACTCGCCGGCCGGTCGCAGTACTGAGTGGCAGGTTCGTTCAGAACGGCCGCGAACCTCTCGCGCTGATAACGCTGTTGCTGTTAAGCGTTCCGTCCTACATGCAGTTAAACACGATAAGAATTTATAATCGCAGTGTAAAGTTAATAGAAATGGCTTGCCAGGACATAACCTAAGTTTATTGACTAATATCGTGTCCGCTCAAGGAGTGTTGATTAAATTGTGACAGAGTGATTGTGAGAGAGTGGTATACATTTTTTTTTGTTTACATTGACTTAAAGTGAATATGGAAACTAGACATTATTGGGAGGAGAACGGCCAATCCATCAAGTATGATAAGTAAGTCTTGAAACGTGTTTACTCGCTTTAAAATGTAGGCACATTTTACGCATTAACAAAACATACTTTGTAGTTTGCACGAAACATCAAACAAGAATGTTTATTATGAAACTATTGGTATTTACGAGTATACAACTGGATTTTTAATCATTAGTGCATGGTTTAAACGTGTACTAAACTATTGAGAGAAACTTGTGTTTACACATGAGTCAGTATATATAGGTACCTAAATATATGATAAGCAGGGTCATCTTGGATCTAATAGAGGTCCTTGGCTTTAACAAATGGTTCCAATGATATTGGCTGAAACTATTTTATCTTTTTGATTTTATTAATACGCTAAAATGAACAGTTCAGGTCCTATCGATGGTCAATTCTGCTGGATACTAGTGGATACCTCCGTGTCCAATAGACAAGAGCTGAAATTTTAAATAACCTTTTTAATTATTTTTAGTAGGTATCTAGATACCTACTATAATAATTTGTGAAAAACGAGGTACCTACTACATGCCGACTTATTTTATTGATTTATTTCACTAGAGTTTCTTGGAAAATTGGTGGGTACGTTTTATTCCTATCTTTTCCAGGAATACGTGAATTAATCTACCAACAGATGTTGCTACAGAATATAATAATTTCAAATTTTACCACGAAATATTTAAGTAGGTTTTCTCATTTATATTTTACTATTAATTATATGGCTTTGGAATAATACTGATGCTGATATATATTGAACCATTATTTGGAATAATAATGGATGTACTGATTACCTGCCTATCCAGGACTTAACATTCGTCATTATTAAGTTTGTGGTCCTGTCCGACCTCAAAGCAGGCTAGGTTTTTTTTTTTTGAAAAATTAGGCCACAGTTAAACTACAATTTGCAGATTTAATCCCAAAGCAGAAGAGGAACACCATACCCACCATAGCCCACTCATGCATAAGCGAAATATCTCCTTTGAAAAGTATACACTATATCCTAAGAAGATAAAAACCGTCGCTCATAATGAATATCCTTCAATTCTTATCCCTGACGGGTTTAGGTAGCGAACTTTGAAAAAGGGCGAGAGCCTCTATATAAAAGCAGTGCACTGCCGCAATACTTTGCAATAGCCAAAAACCTTTATTTTTGGGACTACACAAATGCTATTGGCCGCACCTAGTCTTTACAGCTTCAACGGACGATAGAGGGCGAGTGCAGGTGTCACTCCAAACCCGCGGAAAGTTTTATGGAGCGGCTGAAGGCCAACTCCCGCTTGACGGATACGACTTCAGTCTGAGGGCACCGCTACGGGTTCGAACCTCGGCTCAAGCCGTTGTAGTTTCGATCTCTGTTTGAATTAGACGGGGGATCGATCGAAGGGGAATCAATTATAAAAAATACGTTAAGTTTGCAAGCCAGTACCATATACAGTGGACCCCCGGTAGTCCGACAATCATTTTGCAGGGCAGTGTCGGACTAACGAATTTGTCGGATTATAGAGTACTGCCAAGACCCCTTATAGTCCGAATTTTTTTACCATGTAATCCGACAAATTATAGATCCAATGATGATTCTTTATATTATATACATACAGTGGACCCCCGGTTATCCGACAAACGTTTTGCAGGGCAGTGTCGGACCATTGTATTTGTCGGATTATAGAGTGCTGCTTAAGGGTCCTCTACTTATAGTAAGATTCTATGTTATATATATATATGTATGGGTGCATATACATACATATATATGTATGTATATGCAGTATATTGTCAAAGTAATATTCAATAACAAATAATAGACAATGTCGGATTACAAGGGGGGCCGGATTAGACAGGGGCCGGATTACCGCGGGTCCACAGTAGTATACTGTGCCCGTTTCCTATGACAGAAGTCATAGATACTAGACTACTTCTACATCAGACGCAGTGTTTGTTTATGTTTTTTTTTTGCTTTTATTTGTACGACGTCAAACGGCAAATAAGTTAAAGACCTCGTAATAGAAAGTGGTACCCACCATTTATAGACATGACCAGCACTAATATCATTACTAGCTACGTTACATCAGCGTTGTAGGACACGTTCTTCATGCATCGCCATTTCAGTAATTTTATTGTTCTGTACATAAAAATATATAACCTAAAAGGCAAACTTGGTGGCAGTAAGAATAGGCTTCACGATACTACCGTAAAAATTTTTTTATCTGTAATTTCCACCTCGTGTTACTATTAAATAGCATTGCCATCTTTTTTAATGGGTAATAGTGGAATGGTATACTCGTCTGCGCTAATGGTTTTGCGCTGGCGGGTCACCAGTGCAGTATAATAAGACGAACGTAAGGTTTTTTTTTTAGTGGATGATAATGGAATGGTGCACCCGCCTACGTTAACGGTTTACGCTGGCGGGGCACCAGTGGAGTAATAAGATGAACACGAGGTCAGGTCAATTAGCCCAACGTGACAAATTCACCAGGAATTTATCGCAATGGTTTCCAGGGGGAACCGCGTGGAGGTCGACCTGACATGATACATTGCTAGCAGTGGGGTCATCAGTCCACATTATTAACAATCCCTTTCCCCTCCCGAATGTTAGTTAGGTTAGTTACCCCATCTTGCAAATTCACCAGAAATGTATCACAAGACCAAATATTTTTCTCTGCATGTCAGAAATTTCGGACTTACAATTAATTGTAAGTCCGAATTCTCTCGAAGAAACTTTAGATTCCACTGATTCCTTTTAGTTTCCCTCCGGTTTCTTTTAGCACTTTTTGTTTACTCTCTCGTTAATTTTAACCAAAATTGGTGATGATTTGTGAAATTCGATTCCCGCTACTCTTGTTATCAAACAGTCATCAACAGGTATCTGAACCCTGAATACAACACTTCTAATGACCTGGTTACAGCAACAGTTTGTAGGTTGAAAGTGCATTAGGCAAGTTTATTGATCATTCTTCTTGGCTGAAATGTTCCGTTTAAGCTGTAGAATAAATATATACTATTCGTAGGTACTTAGATTATTACAATTTATTTTGTTATATAAGTAACTACTATTTATTTACTTATGTAAATTTTGCTATTTGACAGTTCGTATTCACAAAGTGTTAAAAATGTAATCCTCAAGAAGATTTATTTAATAGAGCAACACACACGTTTCCTTCTTTCTTATCTATACAAATACTTATACATACTTATAAATAAAATTGGAGTGTCTGTTTGTAATATTGAAATAACCGTTTTTTACTACATGCCTATGAATATAAATACGGTACATATACCAAAATAACATTTTTTATATTTTTTGTCTGTCTGTCTGTTTGTTCCGGCTGATCTCTGAAATGGCTGGATCGATTTTGACGGGACTTTTTTGGCAGGTAGCTGATGTAATAAGGACTAATTTAGATTACTTTTATTTTTGAAAAGCAAAGTTAAATTCCACGTGGACAAAGTCGCGGGAACAGCTAGTGTTTAAATAAATTCACATCTTGTATCACCTTTTTTCATATATTTTCAATAGTATAGCAATTTCAAAGAGTGTGTGTGTGACGACGATCTAAACCAGTCTGGAGATCTATAGACGATGCTTATAGATAGGAAAATTACAGAATGGCCTTTTGTTTGCCGCTCGGCGGCCGTAGTCTGGCGAATCAACCAGTTGGTATTAGAAATAAATTAAAACTCACCAAATGCAAACTTCAAACGGGAGAGACATTCAGTTCGACTTGTTTGTTTTTATTCTGTTCCTAATGTAAAGTTCTTGTTGCATAACATATAGTTTTGAAATTATTTTTACTAGTCTTCGCCCTGTGGTCGAAATTGGACCATAATTAATCTACAGTAATTATATTATTATTTGTTTGTTTGAACGCGTTAATTTCAGAAACTGCTCGTTCGAATTGAAAAATTCTTTTTGTGTTGGATAGTCCATTTGTCGAGGAAGGCTTTAAGTTATATAACATTACATTACGATCAATAGGAGCGAAGCATCAGTGAAAAATGTTGCAAATACGGGTAAAATTAAAAGATAATCGCGATAGTTTTTTAACCACGAGTACATAGTCGCGGCCAGTCTGTCTAAATATATAAAACAAAGTCGCTGTCGCTGTCTGTCCGTCCCTATGTATGGTTAAATCTTTAAAACTACTCAACGGATTTTGAAGCGGTTTTTAATAGATAGAGTGATTCCAGAGTCATCGAGAGGAAGGTTTATACATATAATACATGTACACCCGTGCGAAACCGGGGCGAGTAGTTAGTTTAAATTATAAGTTTGAACATTAATAAGGTTCTACTGTCATGGACCGAGTGTGTGTGTCCAATAGGTAGTGTATGTAAAGATTTTTTTTATTGATTTAATGTATTTTTATGCATACTTAAAAAAAAAAATTAGCATTCTGCATTCATCTATAACAATATATATGTATTATAAAGCGGAGGAGTTTGTTTGTTTGAACGCGCCAATCTCAGGAACTACTGGTGCAAATTGAAAATTTATTTTTCTGTTGGATAGTCCATTAGTCGAGGAAGGCTTTAAGCTATATAACATTACGCTACGATCAATAGGAGCGGAGCTGCAATGGAAAATATTGAAAAGGTGGGGAATTGAAACGCAGGCGAAGTTGCGTGGGTTAGCTAATCTTATACATATATAAAATTCTCGTGTCACAGTTTTCGTTCCCATACTCCTCCGAAACGGCTTGACCGATTCTCATGAAATTTTGTGAGCGTATTGAGTAGGTCTGAGAATCGGCCAACATCTATTTGTCATCTCCCTAAATGTTAGGGGTAGTCCACCCCTAATTTTTTTTATTTTAAGGGAAATAACGTTTGCCGGGACAGCTAGTAATCTATAATGTGTGCGAAACTTCATACTCCGTCCGCGCAATTTTGGTTAACGCTTGCTTCACGTATTTATATATATATATATGTTATTATTACAATTATATATTATTTTAAAGAAATCGTAATTTTATCAATTTGCACCTTGTCACTCCTATAATCTTATTCAAACAACGCTATCTGGCGTT